CCTCACTCATCCCGTCTGTCCCTCGCTCATCCCGTCTGTCCCTCACTCATCCCGTCTGTCCCTCGCTCATCCCGTCTGTCCCTCGCTCAGAAGTTGTCCTTCTCCTGCTGCGTGGACGTGTGGTCCGTTCATCTCTAACCCCTCTGCTCTCAGATCGTGGTTGGCGAATGCTTCCGGATCCACCAGCTGCGTGAGGGGACCACGTCCTTCGTGGGGAATCCCTACGTGGCGGCTCTCTACAAGCAGGTGAGCTCTCCGTCCCTCAGACCTCATCACAGCACAAGCACATTGACTCCTCCCCTCAACCGTGATGGTCCAATCAGAGGTCTGCAGCGGTAACGAGGCTTCACGTGGTTCTGCGTGTTGTGTCTTTGTTGTGTAGAAGTGAATTGTTGCTGCAGAGAGACACTTGTCTCTGAACAGTCGAGCTTTTATATGCTTAAAGACAGTAAATGAACGCAGACATCCAAGGGACAGAATCCAGCGGCAGCTGGATAAGAGTTCTATTATACGAGTGATTTGGCAGAACCGATAAGCCTTTTCATCAGAGGCCAAGAGGAAGGCAAGCTCAGCGCTTTCAGACCCGTAGCCGTGTGCCAGAGGACACGGGACCAGGTCCAATAGTGGTGCCGCTCACTTTTCCTCTACAATATGGAAGCTAACCAGCTAAACGTATCAATGTAAAAGTCACCGTTGTTACATTTTGTTTTTTTATCGACATATTCCGTCTGTGGTAAATATCAACATGTTTGTTTCCATGTTTTCAGCCAGAGGCGTTTCCAGACAGTTTGTGACTAGCAAGCTAACGTTAGCTTGATTAGCAAGATAGCGGCAGACAAGAAATGAGAATCCTGCTTCTGCCACTGTGTAAAATCTCAGTCGGGGGGCGGGGCTTAGCTAACCGCCCGTCTAACGGTCGGCGCCCGGTGTCTCGCAGATGGGCGTGTTCCTCTTCGGGTGTGCCGTCAGCCAGTCGTTCACCGACATCGCCAAGGTGTCGGTGGGCCGCATGAGGCCTCACTTCATGGACGTGTGCCGGCCGGACTTCTCCGCCATCAACTGTTCGCTGGGTTACGTCACCAACTACACCTGCAGCGGCGAGGACGGCGACGTGCAGGAGGCCAGGTGAACACCACCGCCGCAGCGTGGGACGGACGCTCGCCGCTTGACTTGACAAACTGACTGAGGATGATCTTTGTTCCACAGGAAATCCTTCTTCTCGGGACACGCCTCCTTTTCGATGTACACCATGCTCTACCTGGCTGTGAGTAGCTGCCACACACACTCACACACACACTCGCACACACACACATGTCACCATGTTCACACATTCTTTCCCACTTTGTTGCGTTTGTCTTTTCGGAGTCGGAGGGAGAAGATCCAAATTCCTTTAGAAACCACCAGACATGTGACTCCTTTTACCCTGAAACAATTTAAGAGACAACTCGCTGTGGGGGTCGCTGGGGTCAAAGAGACAAAGGTCACGTGGTTCATTTAGGAGGTCACTGGATGAAGCTGGAGGGGTTGAGGAGGTCGAGTGGAGGTCTGCACGACTCATCAGAGCTGTCGCTCCACCTGAGGACCTCCAGAAGGAAGCCTGAAGACTAAACACCCCCCTGGGGGAGGAGACACACACACACACACACACTCACTCCCTCTCTTTCAGGTGCTCACCCCTCCCGCTTCCTCGGGGAGACCGGCGGCTGCAGGGTGGGGGAGGGTGGGTGGAGGGTGGGTGGCGGCTCCTCTGGTCTCTGGTGTGAGGGACGGAAGGCAGAGGGCACCCGAAAGAGTAGTGTGTGTGTGTGTGTGTGTGTGTGTGTGTGCGAGCGGCCTTGGACTCTCCTGTTGTGGCTCTTCCTCTTTATCGCCACCCGGGAGCCTCCACCTCGTCTTCTTCTATTTAGTGACGGAGTCCTTCATGGCCAGGAGTGTGTGTCTGTGTGTCTGTGTGGCTCACTTTGATTCAGTCTAGACCTCTCAGACAGTGATAACACTCACACACAGCAGGTGTGTGAGTGTTCTAAATATTAAATAATATATATATTATAATATAATATATATAAATATTATACATATAATATATATATATTATATATATATATATTATATATATATATATATAATATAATCTAATATATAATCTCAGAGCATAACATGATTGTTGTGCGTGTAGATTCTGTCCTATGGATGAAGTGAGTAACAGCCCCCCCCTCTTGCCCCCCCCACAGTTCTACCTCCAGTCCCGGTTTTCATGGCGTGGTGCTCGTCTCCTCCGCCCGCTGCTCCAGTTCACCCTGTTGATGATGGCGTTCTACACCGGCCTGTCACGCGTCTCCGACCACAAACACCACCCGACGGACGTGCTGGCGGGCTTTGTGCAGGGCGCCATGGTGGCCTGCTGCATAGTGAGTGCACACAACGCACGCGACCCCACACAACGCAACAACGCACATGACCCACATAATGCACACGACCCACACAACGCACACGACCCACACCTAGCGCACGACCCACACAACGCACACGACCCACACAACGCACACGACCCACACAACGCACACGACCCACACAACGCACACGACCCACACAACGCACACAACGCACACGACCCACACAACGCACACGACCCACACAACGCACACGACCCACACAACGCACACAACGCACACGACCCACACAACGCACACAACGCACACGACCCACACAACGCACACAACGCATTTAGCGACCTGAAGCTGAGTTGAAGCATCTGCAGCATCTTACAGGAGGGATTCAGAGCCAATCCTCAGCTTGTGATTGGACAATATAAAGTGGGCGGGGTTTGGAGCCGCTCCTGGAATTCATCTGATTGGGTCATAATTCAGTCTCAGGAGAGAACATTTATATTTAATATGTCGAGTTCAGCTTCTTCTTTTCACTTCTTCTCTTCTGAACAACACAAGCAGAGAGTGTGTGTGTGTGCGTGCGTGTGTGTGTCGGTGTGTGTGAGCGTGTGTGTTTGTGTGTTACTCTACAACCTCCTTCACTACTTTTGTACAGCAGCAGTTGCCAGATGATTTTCATAACCCTGATCGTTATTACGCCAAGCGAGACGGACCCATAGAGAGGGGGGGGGGGGAGAGAGAGAGGAGGGGGGGGGGGAGAGAGAGAGCGAGGGGGAGAGAGAGAGGGGGGGGGGATGTCAAAATGGGAATGAGGCTGTTAATTATTTGTGCTCAGCAGGATCACCCTCTGCTGCCTGTGGAAACACACACACACACACACACATACAGACACACACACATACATAGACACACAGACACACACACTCACACACCAACACACACACGCACACACACACACACACCTTTCCTCGCCATGTGGCTGCGAGTGTGGAAAGGATTAGATTCATAGAATGTAGAGACCTCAGTAGTGGCGTCGGGGCAGAACTGTGGCACAGCTCTCATGCACGCACACACACACACACACACACTCACACACCAACACACACACACACACACACACACCAGGATTGCGGAGGGGTCTGACAGGAGCAACAATAGCGCTCCTCCGGCCGGGCGGAGCTCTGAGGAGGTGGAGAAGAATGTCAGAGACGTTGTGGAGGTTTGACCTCTGAGAGGGCGGAGCCTGGTCCACTTCCAAGACCCCCAGAGACACTGCGCACACGCTTATGCACATGTATGTATATGTGCGCGTACGGGGCGTTAGTCGTACCAGCCTGCGCTGTCACACAGCCACACTTCCTGCGTGACTCAGCTCCTCGCTGCCAGATGAGACACAGACGCACAATTAGAGACACGTGCATGGCGCGCATGGCGTGTGTGTGTCTGTGTGCGTGTGCGATAGGTTGGAGGTCTGTTGGCGGCGATTAGTCCACCAAACATCCTGATGGGAAACGTGGCGTCTGAGAAAAGTCCCTTTTCTGATTATATCACATGTAAAGAACCACGCAGCTGACAGGAGGCCTTTGTGAGCAGACGGATCTCTGTACGATGACGTCACCGCCAGTCAAAGGTCACCAGTCAAAGGTCGCGTTCTAATGGAGGGGGCGGTCTCTGTTGTTTCGGCCCAGCATGAGGACGATTGGTCCTTTATTAACACAGAGATGAGGAGTTGATGCAACGTGGTTCTTTGACTCAACACAAAAGAGACGTTTCAGATTTGTGTTCCAAGTTCCTGACTTTTAAATCTCAATCATTGTCGTCTCTGACGAATGTGGGAAAGTGAAGCGGTGAAAATGGCGGTGAATGGCAGGAAAGAGCTGCTCACGCTCGTGGCTCGTGGAGACCTTTGCAGGGTCCGTGGTTTCCATGGTTTCCATGGTCACACTTCCTGTTTCCTGTCTGACGTCACCCAGGTTTCCCTGATGACGTCGCCTTGTCGACAGTTGGGTAGTTTTAGTTTTCCAGGGCGGGTTCCAGTCGGGTGGGGGGGGGGGTCCTCGGGTCAGAGCGGGGCAGCTGGCAGGTTGTCAATGATGGAGACCCCGTTTCCTCACCCCTCTCTCTCTCCCCCCCCGCAGGTGTTCTACGTTTCGGACCTGTTCGCGCCCCGGGTGACGCCGGCCACGCCTCCGCCCTCCCCCATCAAGAAGGAGCTGCTCCCCTCGGCCGACATCATCGAGAGGAACAACCACCACAACATGGTGTGAGCGGGCGAGGCCGCTTCCTCCTGTGACCGCGGAGCCGCTCGCAGCTCCGCTCGCCTCTCATTGGACAGTAGAATGTAGCGGCGACAGGCTCCTCCCTTGTTTTTATATATTTTTTATTTCATCCTCGTGGCGGAGTCGCTATTCAGACGTATTATTCATTATCATCTACGCTAACTACTAATCAACATTTGAGCCAATTGTTTACGAGCACAAACGGAGAAATAGATTTTTTAAAGCAAACCGACGAGGAGGTTCGATGGAGGCGGCGCCACATCAACGGAGAAGAAGAAGAGGACAAAGCGCTTCGTCTGCGACTGGAACGCTGTGGGACGACGTCCTCGGAACAAATATTACCACTGTACACAAAGTGTAACTTCTAGCACTGTTTTGTTCGTTGTCCATTATCACCACTCGCTGCCTGAGACGTCTCACGGGAAGAAAACGTCACGCCGTTAGCGTAGCCATAGCAACGGGCTACATGCTAGCTGCTACTGGTGATGTCACACTTTTTCTCCTCAAGTCGCCGCACCGGCCGGCCAATCAGAACAAAGCACGGTTTTCTTTCTGTAGTTGACTCTTAGAGCGGCACAAACCCGGGAGGGGGGTCAGGTCACCTAGGGGGTCACCCTAACAGATGTATTAATGGGGGGTCATGGGGGGTCAGATGTATTAATGGGGGGGTAGATGTATTAATGGGGGGGGTTAGATGTATTAATGGGGGGTCAGATGTATTAATGGGGGGGTTAGATGTATTAATGGGGGGTCAGATGTATTAATGGGGGGGTATTGTCTGTGGAAGGAGGGAGGTAGATCATCACGGCCTCCCAGCACCTGCGTGAAGGGGCGTGGCTGCGCCACTACACTTCCTGGGTGTTGGGGTCAGCTGTGAGGGGGGTGATGAATGACAGCTGGCACAACTGTTTTTACAGGATGATTTGGGGCTCTTTCTGCTGGCAGGGAGGGGCCACCAGTCACTCATTGGCAGTGTGTGTGTGGGCCCAGTGACCCCCCCTTAACGAAGTGTGTGTCAAAGAAGACACTGTCAGCTGTGCCAAGTGTGTGTGTGTGTGTGTGTGTGTGAGAGAGCAGGTGGACGTTCTAAAAACTGTGGATTTAATATTAAGTGTATTCTCACGTCGTGTTTTCATATTTAGTTTAGTTTTTATTTCTCAGATCTCCTCATCAACCAGAACTCACTCGGCCGTGTTGCACATCCTCTCCTCGCTTAGTCCGTCCTCTCATTTCAACGAGCCGTTCTCACTCTCCTTTTTATAAATATATAAATAATGTATAGATCACTAAAGAATGTTTCCATGTATCCACTATGATGTCAGACCTGTGTGCAAAGCATCCGCTGACTTTCTATCTAGAGTAACTATTGTAGATCGTTATAGTTATGTTTCAAATGTGCATTTAAAAACACACACAATTGTATTGAAATTCAATATTAGTATTTTGTATTGTCTGTTTTTTGTACAAAGACATCGATGCGATGCTGTTTTTTCTGCTAAATGTACTGTCTCTAATACTTGTGCTTTTAAATAAAAAGCTCCCTATGAACCCTCTGGTTATTCTTCATGTTAATCCCACAACATGTATTATTATATTATTTCTGGCGGTTCATTGCATTCATTTTTTAAATGTTTGCTCCCTCAGACATGTACTGACGATGCAGCTGGTCCCAGATTTAGGGTTCAGCAGCTGGGGGGTCGTGGTGCGACCCCCCGTGGTGCGCGTGCGTGTTTGTGCGTGTCTGCGGTCCCAATAATACTTCTTATATAATTCTTCTGAAGGTCCTCAAGTATCCAAGTGTGCTTCATCATGAAGACTGTGAGAATTCTCTAAATAATAAAGAAAGGTGCCTCAATGCTTCCTTTATTACCCACAATGCCTTGCGGCGGCATCGATTAAAGGGGTTGATCATTTCAACATGACGACCAATTTCAAGCGTCACTCGCTCTCTCGTCCGTCTTTTAGTCAGAAATGAACTAAACCCACTGCAGCGTGAACAGCGTCTACTTCCTGTGGACACGTCACGCCCGCTGTACGTTAGTGGTCATGTGATGTGGGCGGAGCAGTGTGGGCGTGGCCTGACACCGCGGATCCTTCGTCAAATAAACGCTGTGTGTCGTTCAGTGTTCATCACACCAGAGAATCACGCAAACGTTAGAAACACAAGCGAGCGACACTCGTCTCTGAGCTTCTTCCATGTGAATAAAGCTCGATATCTTCATGGGGATACAGAACAAACATTTGAGATGACATCCATGTGTATGCTAGGGTTAGCATTAGCAATAACAATGTATGCTAGCTGTCAGCGTAGAGAAGAGGGGGTCGCTATGCTATCCAACACGCTGCGCGCTAGCTACAATTGTTTAATGGTTTTTGTCCGTCTACACTTGTCGTCTGTCTGTCTTTACTAATGTCATTTAACATCTGATGATCTACGAGCTAAGCTAAGCTAACCAACACTCACACTGTAATCCATGGACACAGCTGAATGTCCAGCTGGGAAAAGATGGTTAGCTCAAAATCTGCATGCGTTAACGTGGTTAAACAGAAGGCGCTCACGATATAAAAAGCATCACGGACTAAACAAGAGCTCCACTGTAGTGAGAGCGAGACGGAGCGTCTGGAGGCCTGGAGGTCCTCCTCCCTGCAGCGTCCACAGAGGAGAGACCAGCTAACTGTCTCGTTCAGTATTAACCCAGTTGACGGTGCTTCATGTCGGTGACGTGGCAATAAGCACATGCGTGGGAGGATTAAGGCCTCGGGTTAATGCCGTTCATGACACTGATCCGACAAGAGAACACTACCTCTTTGTCTCAGACGGGGCAGATTTTGGAGGCTTTTGATATGAATCCAAATCCAGTGAACATAAATAAAAATGTTTGACATCAATCTCGTGTTTATTGTGGCAGACATGAAGACTGGATTAATCTAATTCTCATGTTAGGATTTGAAAAGGGTCATAATTCCATGTGGAAGGATAAGGATGTGTGATAATATGAAGTGGTGTTTGTCTTCGTGGTGCCCAGGGGATGAACATCGAGGACATTGTCGAGCCTCCGTATCGTCTGGCGCCACCAGCTGGCCAAAGTTCCCACTGTGCAGGAAAGTATCTCAACATGAATTGACTCAAAGCGTTGACCAGATGTTCATGGTTCCCAGAGGACGTATCTCCATTATTCTGGTGAAACCCTTGACTTTGCCACATGAGGTTCATACATGTGGTTTGGTTCTTGTTGTTTTTGGTTCATGCATTCAGACCTTCTGAAACGTTGCTGCTGTTTGAACATAAAATGAATTACTTTACCTCGCACACATCGGTGTGTCTGCATGGCCGCTGAGCCGGCTGGAAAAAGAAGAGCCGAGGATGAAAAATTGATCCATTTCACAGACGTCGGCTGCACGCGGGCAACAGGTGATTATGTCATCTTTAAATAATTGCCCTCTGTGTCCTTTGACTCTCCACGCAATAACTCACCCACCGACATCTCCGTAAACACGACTCAAACACGTGAACCGAGCGCCAGTGAATCCACTCAATCGCTGTCTGTTGTCCAGTTAGTTAGCGGTTAGCTGCCCGGCGAGGAGGGTTTCTGTTGTAAAGAAGTGCAGGAGGTGCACAGTGAATGCTGCAAACGCACATTTTAGTCACGCAAAGCCGAAACGCTACGTGTGACAGATACACGGCTTACGTGAGTGAATCCATGAATGTGCAGAAGACTTAAAGGCTGCTGTCAGGGGGTCATATGGCCCCCCTGAGCTAACCGTGCTAGCTGTGTTTACCTGAACAATGCCAACAAGCAGAGAGAAGCTCGGGGAAGGAGACTCACGTACTTTAGGATTCATTCCTTATGCTCCATATGGACGATACACAAAACCTACACAACGTTCCTGACTTCTTCTGTGGCTCACATCTGCCCCCCCCCCTCCCCGATTTGGAGGACTAACGTCAGGAAAGGAGTTCAGGGATTCGGTTGCTCTGAAATGTTCTCTTTATTTTAAGTGTTTTATTTTTCAAAGGTGTTTATTTCCAATCTCTGTTTCACTGAGAGATCATCGAGGTTCAAACAGAAACATCAAGGGGAAAAACAGAATGACCCCTTGACCTCCTTCCAACGCACACACACACGTCCACACTCCTCATCTCCACTGATGCAGTCAGGCTGCTTGAGTGAACGCACAGTGAGATGGTTCCTGCAGAGCAGATGGTGGCTCAGGAGGAACGGAGGAGAAGTGACAGGAGATCAGGAAATGGGGGAACAAAATGGAGTTAAGCATTTCTCTCTCTCACTCTCTTCAATGGTTGCCAAAGGGAACCTGCACACGCAACTCAAAACCTTCAAACCCTTATTACTCCCACACAAACACACACACACACACACACACACACACACACACACACACAAACAATCACACTTGTGCAGCAGTGCAGAGCGACTAACAGTTAGAATCCAGCTCAGTCCGTCCGGCTCCAATCCAGAGGCTGCTGCCTGATTTACCGAACATCCAAGAGTGTGTGTGTGTGTGTGTGTGTGTGTGTGTGTGTGTGTGTGCGTGCGTGTGTGTGTGTCTGTTGTGTCCTCCCAAAGCGAGCCAACCGTGAGCTCAGCCCTCGCTGACATCCAGCGGAGTAGCTGGCTCCAGACGCCGGCCCATCCATCGTCCTGGTGACCTCGGAGGGATCCACTGGGAGCCGAGTTGTGATCTGATCCGGTGGAGAAGAGCAGCAGTTATAGATCATGAGGCTCACGATTCAGTTCTGGTGTCGGTGTTTATCTTTTGTTCCTGTCTTTGAGGAGACTGCATAAAAACCTGAAAGGCCCGTTCATTGCTCCAGGTTTATGTATCTGCACATGCAGGATATAAACATGTATGTTTGTGAGTCACCTGATGTGCAGTAGACATGTACACATGCAGTGACTCAGCGATGGTCTTCTAATCACAGCTGGCAGATTTTACAGCATCAAAATATAACTGTATGGTGTTACTTGTCTTACTTTCAGAAGAGCAGCTCCACCAACCTGCCGCAGTCCCCACAGTCCCTCCCCACCAGCAACGACCCTCTCTATTCTGGAGAGAGACCTTAACCGGTTCTTTAAAAGACAAAACCCCCGTAAGGCAGCCGGTCCGGACTCCGTCTCCCCTCACACCCTGAAGCATTGTGCTGACCAGCTGTCTCCGGTGTTCACTGACATCTTCAACACCTCCCTGGAGACATGCCACGTACCAGCCTGCTTCAAGGCCTCCACCATCATCCCTGTCCCCAAGAAGCCCAGGATCACAGGACTCAATGACTACAGGCCCGTCGCCCTGACCTCTGTAGTCATGAAGTCTTTTGAACGGCTAGTCCTGACCCACCTGAAGTCCCTCACCGACCCCCTCCTGGACCCCCTGCAGTTCACCTACAGAGCCAACAGGTCTGTGGACGATGCTGTCAACATGGTCCTCCACTACATCCTCCAGCATCTGGACTCCCCAGGAACCTACGCCAGGATCCTGTTTGTGGACTTCAGCTCTGCCTTCAACACCATCATCCCGTCTCTGCTGCAGGACAAACACTCACAGCTGCACCGCCCGACTCCACCTGCAAGTGGATCACCGACTTCCTGTCTGACAGGAAGCAGCACGTGAAGCTGGGAAACATGTCTCAGCCTCTCGGACCAT